AACAGGATGGGCACATCTGAATGGAATTAAAATCTTAAGGTTTTGTGAACTTGAGGCACCTGCACTTTTAGAAGCAGCTTGGGGTTAAGTGATGCTGTGATTGTTGGTCCCCTAGCCTAGCAGGGATATAAGAGGGGATATCATAAAGCACAGATGTATTATCACACCTAACACTTAATATTACATTTGCCTGTAATACAGGAGACACAGAAGACTCTGGTTTAGTCCCTGGATTGGGAAGATCCCCTGGAGAAGGAAATGGCAACCCACTTAAGTATCCTTGCCTGAAAAACCCCATGGACAGAGGAGCCTGGCAGGCTACAGTCCAAAAGGTCACAAAGAGTCGGACATGACTGAATGAGCACAATACTATATAATTCTCAGTCCAAGTTCAGTCTTCCCCAATTGTCTTAAAACTATTTTTCTATTGTTTGTTTGAATCAGGATGTCAAAAATGTCTGCACATTGCATTTGTTTTATTGTTGTTGCTCATTTTATTCATTTTGAAAAACTGAAGCATAGTTGTACAGTATAGGTTACAGGTGTACAATAAAATGATTCTCAATTTTTAAGGTTCTAGTTATTATAGAATATTGACTATATTCCCTATGTTGTACAATATCATGTGTTGCATTTGTATCTCATTTTATCTGTAACAGTTTGGTTCATGAAAAAAGTCACCATTATAAGTCAACTATACTTCAGTTTTTAAAAGATCACTTATTTAAGAAATCAGGTCATTTCTCAGATAGGTTCACTGCCCGCTTGGTGGGGATTTGGCTGACTACAATCTCATGATGTCATTTTACATGTTCCCCCATCTCTAGTATTTCTTGTCAACTAGCAGTTCTATCTGGTCTTCCCTGGTGGCTCAGGTGGTAGAGAGTCCACCTGCAATGCAGGAGACCTGGGTTCCATCCCTGGGTCAGGAAGATCCCCTGGAGGAGGGCATGGCAACCCGCTCCAGTGTTCTTGCCTGGAGAATCCCCATGGACCGAGCAGCCGGGAGGGCTACAGTCCATGGGGTCACAAGGAGTCGGACACAGCTGAGGACATCACAGCAGCAGTTCTGTCTAGAAGCTTGACTGGATGCAGGTAACATCTTTTTGGTGGCAACACTTCACAGGTGGTACCGTGCACTTGCTTTTACTGTTTATCAGGAGGCAGTTTCTTTTTTCTTTTAGTGATGTTAAGATTGATCTGCAAGTCTGTGTATTACCAGTTTGATCTAGTCTTATATAAAGTTCCCCACAACCTTTCACCCAATGATATTAGCAAAAGCTGATATTTATCTAATTATTTCATTAGGGATTGCAAAGTGATGATTTTATAATTCTATCATTCCTTCTTCACTTATTAGCTTCTCTGAAGAACTTTCCCTTAGCAACTCTTTGGTGAATCTGAAAAACAGATTTTTCAGGAAAAGCAGAATAAATACATGATTCTTTCTTTTATCTATCTACTTTCAGATTAATTGATCTATTTTATCAATTAGGTTTTTGGGAAGAGGGAAATATTAAGAACTATGGATTTTTATATATTTGAGGTGTTTCAGTGCATAAAGTATTACTTGTAGGATACTGAATATTACTTTATCATTTGTGAGATACTTAATACACATTAGTCACTTAAACTTCACAAACAACCCCATGAAGGTAAGGTATTATTAATACTACCTAGTTTTACAAATGAAAAAATCTAGATCATATAGCTTGAAGTAGGATTTGGTGTCTGTTGTTCTTTCAATTAAATGTGATATTGGTTGAAAGAATGAGACCATTAAAGGTGACTGGATTCTTTTTCTTTTGAGATTAAATAGCAGACACCTTTAACCAGTGGGACTATGGTACTAACCATTGTACACTTTAGAAGGCATTACTTGTGGCAAACACTGTTGAGAATAATGTTATGCTGATAATACTGTAACTTAGTAAATAGCTTGTCTCAACTTTGTTTGTGAAGCATTTCAATTTTGATTACTCTGTGTGGGATCTGCTGCTCAGATGTATGTCATTTTATGGTCTGCTCATGTCTGGGGAGCTGGTATTATGTGCTGCCTAGTGTTTTTAATTCAGAACTTCTTCTGAAAGAAACCTTAGCCTCTTATGTTCAAGCCCTAGTTTTAATAGCATAAGCTATTTCCTTCTTATATCGCTTTGTGGGCATAGTAATAAAATAAATACCACAAAATCACTGATGAGATGAAAATTGAGCTCCCTGCTTCTGTGCAGCCATGTAGGTAAAACAGTAATTGGCTCTGATAATAACTTTTGTTCTTACAAACCGAAGTCTAAATGAGAGTCACATTTGATATATCTGCTTGTAATTACTATCAAAAGGAGAGAATACAAAGTTTAGATTGTTTAGTGACTCAAGATAGATTAAATAAATTGCTGTCTTTTCTTGAACAATTTAAGAAAATTTTCTTAAATTATTTCTGATATTTATCTTACTGTTGGCAAAAAATGATCATCTTCCAGAACATTGCTTTTATGCTTAATTGAATGATTAATTTTGTTTTTTTAAACCTATAATTGTTTTCCTTGAAAAATCTTATTACCGGGCCTGATAGTTTATGCTTATAAATATTTTCCTATACCTCTCTGTAGATAGTTTATAAGATAAATTTAGGTTATGAATGTATATGGCAGTGATTTTCAGTGAGACCATTTGACATTTTTGTATCATTTAAATGTAGACTTTTAATATTTTTTAAATGGGGAATTAAATCATATGTGCTACATATTATTTTGATATATCAATGCTTTGGTGTCAAAAGGGTAAATAATAGAATATTAATATTTAAAGAATCTTTCTATTGCTTTAGAAACTAATAAAGAATTGCTATTACAACCTGACATTTCTGTTGAATTTCTGCTTACATTTCGATTTCTTTCCAGAAATATCTGTGTCCAGTGCCATAGAAATGTAAAAATGGAAGGGAACAACTAGATTTTAATGCCAGTTTTTTTTTTTAATGCCAGTTTTAACAATGATTCTAAATTTGATCATTTTGTTTCTATACCAGTCCCATAGCCATGCAAAGTTGATGGAGCATAATAAAACTAAGAAAAGGGCCATGGTCCATTGAGCCGATGATCCCAGAATTAAAAAGTTCTAACAAAGCTTAGACATGATAGATGAAGCTATTACCATCAGTTGTATCCAGAATACACATTTAAAAAACACCCTAATTACAGAAACCACATCCAGTCAATATAATACATATTAGCAATTTCCCCATCCTTTCTAGAATGGAAATTATTCTGAAAGTTTAATTAAGAAGGAAAAAATTATGTTCAGGTATTAATTTCAATAAAAGAGGCCCTCAGCTTTCATGCAAAAACCCCGGAGTAGTGCTGTACGTGTGGGTTACCCACAGAAGGAAAGCCACTTGTAATTAGGCACTACATTATTTTTGTCACCACATGGACTTTAAAGAGATAGAAAAGCTGTGCCTTCTTTGTAACCTGTGTTCCTGCATGAGTTAAAGCACACAATTGAGTGCAGTTACTTGGAGATTTTGTCTAAAAACTTTTTAAAAAAATAAAAGGAAGGTTTGGAGGCTGTATTAAGAAATAACTTATCTAGACAGCATGCATTCCAAAGGTGTTTTTGTAGTCTTCCCCTTCACTTTGACCTCAGGCACAGGCCATGTATGAATGCTTAGGATCAAAGAAATTACTGCAGCATGAGCTAATCTGTCTGGTTCCTATAACCGTTTTAACAATTGCATCAGATCACCCTCAGAACTAGCACTATATTGAAAGGAAATCAGTGTTTTTAATTGCTCACAACACCTCCTTTTTAAAAAAAGTCACAAAGGCCACACATTGTATGATTTCATTTATAGGAAATATCCAGAATGGGCACATCAAAGAGAAAGAAAGCTGATTAGCAGTTGCCAGGCTCTGGGAGGAGGAGGGGATGAGCAGTGATTGTTAATGAGTATGAGTTTTCTTATTGGGGTAATGAAAATGTTCTGGAATTAAGGTGGGGTGATGGTAGTACAACACTGTGAATATGCTTAAGTTCAACTTCCAAAAGACTTCAGAAACTCTTGGTACTACCACATTCCAAAAGTGTCAGTTTACCTTTTAGTATCCATGCATAGTATGCTACCTTTTAAAAAAGGTAGAATGCCACCTTTTAGCATAGAATGCAAAACATGGGAGGGAGGTGTTGGGGGTTAGTAATTCTATGGGAGACTGTCACGTCTAAGGCCACATTTTGCAAATAAAGAAACTGACTTCCAAAGAAGGAAAGTGACTTACCCAAGGTCACATGCAGACAGTCCAGGGTAGAGCAAGACTGGACCTCAGGTCTCCAGTCACCTGTCCAGTGCCCCCCTCCAGCACCACTGTGCTGCCTCCTCTGGTAGTTTATCTCAGCAGTAAGTCACTGGAATTATTTTGAATGAGGAACACATGGTTCAAATGAGATGTGTGGGTTTTATTTTTTTCTAATGAAAGCATACATTTTCCCTATAAAATAGCAAAATCTCTGTGAAGGAGGAGATACATTTGTTGAGGTAAATTTACCAAGTCCTAACTGAGATTTACCTGTAAATGTCCCTTGAGAAAAGTAGCCACATTAACAGACCAAGGGAGCCCTCTGCCTGCACAGTTGTAGTATAGGTTTCATTGGCAAAGTTCTTGACCTGGAAAGCTAAAACTAAATCAAGACCAGGTGTTCTACCCTTTGTCCACCTTGGTTGGCTTCTAGCAGTATTTTGGAGAAAATGAATGGTGTCCGAGGATGGATTTTTATGAGTAACAGGGATATGGAGAGGAAAATCTGCAGAAAATTCCTTTTCTGTGAATAAAAGACAAATTAGTCACCTAAAAAAAAGACCTAAAGATATATATATATATTTTTCCCAGTGAGAATTACATTAAAATAATTATTCTCAAAGAACTTTATACTCCTTTGAGGATATAAAATATTAGCAAGCAGTTTTGTTCATCCAGCATGAAACTTTCATTGTTTCTTTGTTTCAGCGAAAGACAGGGTTGAATATAAAAATCATGCAGGATCCTGAAAGCACCCACCACAGAGCTGCTGTCAATGCGACCTATGGAATCAGTCTGCCATACATTAACCAGAGAAAAGCAAGTGTAAGTAATGAGCGGCTTTAATGAGCTCTTATTTTTTAGAATTAAAATTCATTCATTGGTGCTATAAGACATAAGGTAGATTTTAAGAATTGGATCCTTTTGTCCTTAGAATTTTTTGGAGATGAAATGGAGTGGCACTCATTCTGTTTGTGATTAGAAATGATAAAGAAAGTGTAAGCTTCTTTTTAAAAGATCTATGTATAGATCATTCAAATTTTTCTATTTCATCTGATATCCCTAAATACACTAGTGCCATAATTTTAACTAGTACCAAAATATAACAAGAGGAAGTAATTTAACAACAAAAAGAATACAGAGCTGTTAAATATTTTCTTTTGTGTACAGGCTTCTCCTAGAAAAAGAAAAAAAAAAAAAACCAGCAAGGCATGAGCTTCAATGGTGTATGCTCATATAATAGGCAAAATTTTGAGAATATTATTCTAAATCTGAAGAAAGTAGGGGTTGCTCCTTTATGTCAGCAAAATGATGAGAAGGAAAAATAGAACAAGGAGACTGTCATTAAAGGAATCTCAGAGTCTGTGCCTATTTTTGCCATTGACTTGCTGCTGAGTGTCCCAAAGCAAGGATTGTACTCTTTCTGTGTTTCAGGGTTTTCTTAGAAGAATCAAGAGTAGTGCTCAATTTTAATTGGGAAAATTATTTTATTTGAGATCATTTCTAATATTGAAAATAATTACCCAAGTGATATCTATAATTTTTAAATACATTTTTTTTAACCTTTGGCTTCTATCCAAAGCTCTTAAATGTATTCTTCAATGAAATCAAAAGTAAAAGCAAGATTAATTTTAGAATTAAATTGCAAACCATTTCTAACCAGCATAATAGTCTTTTAATCTTTCAAATTTCCTACGTAGACATTTTCAACTGCCTACTTCATTCATGTAACCCTGAAATATATTTTTAGTTTCTTTATATGTGCTTTATGTTATTCTAACAGGGTTGGTTTAAGAGCATTTTATCATAGAAATCCTTTTATAGCCTAAGAAATAACTAGAAAGTTAGATATTTTTATTCCTGCTAAAACTTTATTTAAAATGTCACTGTGAATAATGTGAAAGAGTTTTTATCTGCTTCCCGTGAGCCCAAAGCCCTTGAAATAAAAATATTATTTCTCTGGCTATACAGACAGAAGCAGATTTCTCTTTTGTTGTTGTTGGTTTTCCCCATCAGTCTAGAATTAATATTGGCTTAGCTGGTGGAGCGCTGAGGCTTTGTAGCCCAAGGCAATTGCAGCATTTCATGCAAACTTTTTCTGATGAGTATTGAAGTTTAAAAAGGCATACCTCTAGATTTAGAGGTGATTAAGCTTTGCTTTAATGAATGTGAACAAAAATTCTGACATAAATAGGGAATTCAAAACTATATCCAAAATTTCCCAAGAAGGATATGTGCCTTGGATATTGTACCCTTGTCCTTAAAACACAGAGGACTTGGGAAAGCACTTGGCCTTGTAAGACATATAGGTAATATATACTCATTGATTGTATTTAAGATCCTTTTTTCCCCCTGTAAAACTTGACTCCATTAAAATCTACACCAGATCACTTTAAAATGTAGGTACATTATGTCCGTCTTCCTCAAACTATTGGCATTTCAATCAAAATAGTTGACCCTATTATTTTATGTTGATATATGTATAGACTATGGTACTAACTGAAAAACATATTTTCATTTTAGATTTGTAAAACAAGCATTGTGCCAAAAGTCCTATGAAAGAAATATTCCAGTGTTTGGCTTTAAACAATCATGTGGAATACTTGGGAATAAATACAGTTGTGATTTACCACTTATGAAAATGTTTTTGAAAGCACTTACCCAAACTGAAGCAATGTGTCTAGCATTATGATGTATAGTTAATTAGAAAAACAGCATCAGAGCTAATTGCTTTTTATAACCACTCTAAACACTCAAAGGGGATTATTATTTGGCTGCTGAGGGCCATGTGTTTCCTTACTTCTTATGAAACTTGAACAGCTTGTCAAAAGCCTGTAAGTAATCTTAGATACTTTTGACAGAGCAAATTTGAATTTGTCGCTAATTTACATTACCAGTTCCCAGAAACCGGTGTTTTCTCCATTTTATGAAGAGGTATATGCTTTGTGATAATCATAGGCTGATGAAAAGCTTTTAGTGCATTGAAAACACATATACTCTACACACATATATACCCGCCCCCACAAAACTGCCTTCAGATTTATATATCCTGTAACTCTCTTGTGTAAAAGCAATTCACAAAAAAAGCATTAAAAGTGAAAGTCACTGATTTTTTTCAATATATTAAATTTACCAAATTAAAAACAAAAACCCTCTAACACATTCGTGAGTAGAGCCTTATAGGTTTGAATAGACAAGAAGAAATCTCTGATCCTGTTCATACTTACTCATTGACATTTAGTTCCAGTTAGACTTTATAATGCAACACATTAAAAGAGCTACAGAAAATTTGACTTTGATTTATATTTTTTTAAATAAGGGTTTCTTAAAAGGCTTGAAACATGTATCTGTTACCATGAATTTTAAAAGAACGATTATGAATGCATAACAAAATAGCCAAACAAAACATTGCTTTGAATTGCTGCACAAATAACTCTGATTATAACTGTTATGACCTACAAAAGAATCATAAAAACATTTTTCTTTTTGGCAACGTATGAGTTGCTGTAGAATTATACCAGTTCTTTGGTCCCACTTTCCAAATAAATAAATATATAATGCAATGTAAACTTAGAATCTTTTATTTATTCATGAGGTTGAATTTAATACTATTATGATTTCTAGATTTTATGAGTCATATGTTATGCAGTGTTTTTCACTAACTTAGTTGGGTAGCAACCACACTTCACAAATCATAGTTTCATTCTTTACTGTTTCACTTGGAGTGTGCATAGTAATCCCTCACTGAAAGTGCATTCATTTCTGAAGTGATAAAGTAATGGAAAGTGAGGCAATTGTGTTAATGTCAAATGATTAGAAGAAGCACCAGAAGTAAGGTGGGGGTAAGTAGGAGGGGTGGGGGCAGAAAGAAGGACTATTTCACAACATGATTGTGTTTTAAGCCCATGCATATGGCCACAATTACAGTCTCAACATAATTTGGCAACAGTAGCAGAATTAGATTTAAACAAATTGATGTTACACTGCAGTAATTCAGAATGAGCTTGTTGCATTTATAAACCATAACAAGAAGCAGAGTGAATTAATAAACCCTTCTTGTCACTAAAAATAAAAAAGGGAATAATTGCTGAGATGGAGTTAACTTAACAGATGACTATAGTCAGCATCCTTTCGGCCTAGATATGGGAAAGTGAAGGTCACCCCCATCTCAGATGACAAAGAGGGAACATTTTGTTGGTAAACAAATTAATCTTTTGAAAGGTCACCATTTGTTTTAAGTTTTTATCCAGTTCTTGTCATCTGGAATCAGAGATTGACTGTCATTTCGCTAGCAGGGGTGCAGTGGAAGCAGACAGCGCTGCTTCTGTACATATCAGCATTCCTTGACAAAACCCGGTGCCTGATTGTGATGCTATGGGCGGCTGGTTTGCAGCTGTCTCCGGACAAGAATGGAGGCCCACCCCTGAATTCCAATAAGATGGGCCTGCATATTCCGCCTGCTGTAAGCTGGCCCTCTGCCCACAAGTAAAATGTATTGTAGTTCAAGCCAGCAATTATCTCTTTTACTTCCTTCTGTGCTGCTTCTGTTCCTTTTTTTTCCAAAAACAGATGTGGGTATTCACTCAAGTTCTGCATCTCTATTCTTTCCCACACCTGCCAGGGCAGAATTTTGACAGAGGTAGGGTTTGAGGGAGCCAGCAGACAACAAGCAGACGGGATTTCTGTGAGAACAGTTTCAGAAGAAAATGTTGAATTTTCAGGAAATGTAGAGTCAGCATCTTGTCCCCCTCCCTTTTCCCAGGAGCATTTGGTAAATTAAACCAGTTGAACAAAAGGAAATAGCTTTAAAGACATTTAGAAATGCCACATCCTATTTATGACACACAGGCATTACCCAAGAACTGCGATGCCATGTTCAACACCCCCCATTTCTGTCACTAAAGAGAGGTTCCTCTTCAGGTTGTCTTGAAAGAGTTTCCAAGAAAACAGTGACTTTTCATGTTCTTCTTGACTCGTAGCCTACTCCACCAACATGGTGGTGATAGAGTGCTGTATTGCCTTTGGAGGTTGAGGTGATTGAGAACGTTAGTTCTGCTTTGCTTTGGAGTGCTGACAAACCTGAAGAAACTGATGTGGCAAATGCCACTGGCTCATGTCTGGTTCTCTCACAAAAGCCCATCTGGAAATGGGGAGAGGTCATTGGAGGCCATAGCCTCATCAGGCAATGAACATTCTCTAAGTTCTTGTCTACACTGTTATTTCTTGAATTTCTGGGCTGAGATCCCGCATGCGTTCCCAGACCAACCCCACACCAAACTCCAGCCACTTTTTAGCTGGGAGCATCACGTTTCTGGGTTAGACTGCCTGCTGTGGACTCTTACTATTAATAGAAGGAGAACGTCACAGAAATGGCCTCCATTTCCTTGAGGTAAAATGGCCACGATAAGAGAATCTCATAGGATTATCCTGAGGTTTTGTTTTTGTTTTTGTTGGCTGTGTTGGGCCTTAGTTATGACGTACAAGGTCTTTCCTGTGGCTTTCGGGCTCCAGAGAGCACAGCCTCAGTAGCTGCAGCACGGCCTCTCTAGTTGCCGCACACGGGCTCAGTTGCCCCAGAGCAAGTGGGATCTTGGTTCCCTGACCAGGGATCAAACCTGTGTCCCCTGCATTAGAAGGCAGATTCTTAACTACTGGACTGCTGAGGAAGTCCCAGGATTGTATTAAGATTTAAATGAAATAATTCAAAGCACTTAGTAAAGGCCCTGGCACAAATAAGTGCTCTGAAAGTTTTAGTTATGACTGTTGGCAATCTTTACATATTGTCTTATGCCATATTTTATACAGTCATTTAAAGCTGACATTCC